CCTCTACAAAAGCAAGAACAGAAATCAGAGGCTTTCTTAATGTGCATGAAGGCAACTGGAACACAACATGATTTAGCTGCAGGAGTTGTTTCTGTAGATATTAAACCTATCACTGAATCTAATTCAAAGATACACAGCAAGGAACCGTAGCAGAGTGAGATTCCACACTCTTCTGGGGTAACTAATTGAGCGTATTACAGCTGAGATTTGATCTACAAACTGATTTGTCACTGCTGACTGAAAGAAACAGGTGATATATCATGATTGCTCTGGGTCTTGGTCTTCTTTGTTTACTCTTTGGCCCTGACCTGTCAGAGGCTCAGTTTCCTCGAGTGTGCTGCACAGTGGAGGGGATTTTGTCCAAGCAGTGCTGCCCTGCTCTTGGCTCAGACCCTGCCAATGTGTGTGGCTCACTGTTGGGAAGAGGAAGCTGCACTGCTGTTCGAGTCGACACCAAACCCTGGGGAGGACCGTACAGACTAAGGAATGTTGATGACAGAGAGAGGTGGCCGACCAAATTCTTCAATCAGACTTGCAGATGTACTGGTGGGTGCTGACCAGCTTATTTAGTTAAATAAGAAAAGTTAAATCCGTAAATGGTTGAAGTAGACTTAGATTTAACTAGGTAAAGGGTTGTGTTAAACCTTGTCTGTTGTCTGCTTTTTATTTAATGAGGCCTTCTGCTGAGATTCTTAGCAGTAGTAACAGTTTTTATCTTTTGCATTTAAACTGCATTTTTAGGTTTTATTATTTTGTTGTACAGTGTTTTGTGACTACATGTTTGTGCACAATTTGACAATTAATTTGCTCTTTATGTTGCAGGTAACTTTGCAGGTTATGATTGCGGTCAGTGCAAGTTTGGCTGGACCGGACCAAATTGTGACCAGAGGAAAGCTCCCATTGTGCGGAAGAATATCCACTCCTTGACCCCTGAAGAGCTCCAAGAGTTCCTGGACGCTCTGGAACTGGCCAAGAGCAGCATCCACCCAGACTACGTCATCGCCACTCAGCACTGGCTCGGACTCCTCGGACCAAATGGAACCGAGCCACAGATTGCCAACATCTCCGTTTATGACTTCTTTGTCTGGCAGCATTACTACTCTGTTAGAGACACTCTTCTTGGTAAACCATCATGGTCATATTTACACAAAACCACTACAACCATTAAATGTGTGGGTTTTTTTTTTCAGGAATATAACAATAATAGAAATATGTGTTAGAATTGATCAATTCCAAATACAGACCTTTTTTACTGTAACTACAAAAATTCTGTAACATATAAACTGATAAGAGGAATGCTTTTACTTAGCTTTTTGTTTTACATTCTCATATGTTTGTTATCAAATTCATATTTTTAGGCATTAGATATAGGGTTTATTAAGCTCAGAACTGTTGTGATACTAAAGAGGAGCTAATGAAACAATTCATTTTCCTCCAGGTCCAGGTCGTCCCTTCAAAGCCATTGATTTCTCACACAAAGGGCCAGCATTCATTACTTGGCACAGGTATCACCTCCTGAGTTTGGAAAGGGAACTCCAGGTATTTGGAATTTTGTATTATTTTTGTATTTTTTTAAACATCTCTTAAAATATTATATTTTCATTTTTTGTGGTGGAGAGTAGAGGAGTGTATCCTTTGCACAACAATTTGCATTTTTGAAAAAAAATTTGGGCTCATCAGATTTTTAAATTGCGTGCACAATTCTTGTTTAAATTCACTGATGAAACATAAATGACCTGTCAAAGGGACATCTGTTTAAAGCTCAGATTAATGCATGTTATATTCAATAAGCTTACTGATGACTAACATTTTGGTGAAAAATTGACAGACAAATCAATCTTGCAATATTTCCCAAAGACATTTTAAACTTCTTATGCATTAAAAAAAAGACAGACTTAAACAATAAAAAAAATGGTATACCTAAAAATTATATATATAAAATATAAACGAGAGAGAGTTGGCCCTATAAAACATTCATAAAGAGCCATGTTGCTGATTTAGCAATACTTTTTCATAGACACACAGAGTGTTTCTTTTTCTTCTGCAGAGACTTACTGGCAATGAGAATTTTGCAATCCCATATTGGAACTTTGCCACAGGGCAGAGTGAGTGTGATGTGTGTACTGACACTCTGCTGGGAGGCAGAAACCCAGACAACCCCTTCCTCATCAGTAACCAGTCCAGGTTCTCCAGATGGGGGGTGGTGTGTAACAGGTCAGCAGAAAATACTGATTGGAGGGAAACAATTGTCAGTAATTGTATTAAAAATGTGTAACACTTAACGAATGTTCATGGTACATGTTGGTGAAACATTTAAATTCTTTACGTGCATCTAATTTATTTCCAGTCTCGACGACTACAATCGTCTCGTGACCCTTTGTAATGGAACCAGTGAAGGTTTCATACAGAGAGGGATGATCCGGCAAGGCAACAGGACTCTGCCTACAATGACTGACGTCAGAAGCTGTCTTGGAATTCGGGACTTTGACAGCCCTCCCTATTTCACCAACTCCTCCTTTAGCTTTAGGTAAAAGTGGAGTGTTCACCATTGTTAATGATGTTAAATATATACCACCTTTTTCACAGAACAAATGAATTAATGCTGTTGTTTGTACCTCACAGAAATGCTCTCGAAGGGTACGACAAACCAGACGGAGAACTGGACGAAACCGTTGACAACCTTCACAATCTTGTCCACTCACTGCTCAATGGAACCAGCTCGTTGGCTCACTCTGCAGCCAATGACCCCATCTTTCTGGTGAAAACCCAATTCAATGGTTTCCTCTGATAAAAAAATCTCTGACACACTTTGTTTTAATTTTAATAAAAATGAAATTTGTCATTTGTACCTTGCAGGTGCTCCATGCTTTCACTGATGCCATTTTTGATGAATGGATGAGAAGGTTTGTTCCATCCAACGCCACTTTCCCAGATGAGATGGCCCCCATTGGACACAATAGAGACTACAACATGGTTCCCTTCTTCCCTTCCATTACCAATGAGGACGTGTATCTTCCATCTGAACAGCTGGGATATTCTTATGCCATTTCCCTGGATGGTGAGCAAATAGTGAAAGAATAACTTTGATCGGTGGGACAGGTGGACATTTTTGGAAAATTTATGTAATTTCTTACTGGTGAGAGTAAAGATTGATTTCACTCAAGTGTGTACAGTGTGCATGAAGCAAAGAGTTAGCCTGGGTTTGCATGAAGAGTAGACATACCTAACCCATACAATTATTAAAGAAAAAAAATAAACAGAATTTTCTAAATTAGACTGCCAACATGATCTGTTCAAGACCAAAGTCTGAAAATGACAGATTATGGTTTTAATGGATAGTTTTTTGGCAAAATTTCTCAATTATATATACGCCACAGACACGTGTGGCCTTTCAGTGAACACTAATAAAACAGGGCAACATTGCATGTTTCAAAACAAATATCAACTCACTGCCGACCACTTTCAAATCCATGGCGCTGGCTCATCAACATAAAAAACCCCTCTTTTTGTTATGTTGGAATAAATATCTTCTTATTTACAGATTTCATTCATATTCAATGAACCTGCAACTGCAAAGGTTTTAGCAATCCATCTCCTGTTTCATCTATACAGATGCAGATGAAGGACCGGCTGTTGTTGTGCTGGGCTCCACTCTCGGAGGAATCTTCATCGGTCTCCTGGTACTTCTCCTTATCTTTGTGCTCTACCTGCGTCAGCGGAGAAACAGAGGCTTTGAACCTCTGATAAAAGCAGATTTCACAAATAGAAAGTACACAGAAGAAGCCTAGATTTCACCTGTTGTTCTGAAATGCGCTTGAGTGCTCAAACATACCTCATAGTAATGGAGCACCCTGTCTGCTGTCACGACTGTGAATAATAATCTTGTCTTTGAATAGCATGCTGTGTTTTAGCTGTTGCATCTAATTTCATGTTAGCAAATGAATCACACGATTGTTCTACCAAGTACCTCGCACTCTTAAATCAGTCTTTAATTAAATGCATTTCTACTTGAACCAGTTTTAACCTGATTTACCATCTCAATCATCAATATATATAAAACATATATGATTACAAATTGTTTTTGGGTTTTTTTTTTTTTAAATAAGAATTTATTCTCAAGAACAGCAATAAAACAAAAATGCAATCATCTTAATTGCACCAAAAACAGTAAGGCATGTTTGCTCAACTAGTTCTTCAAACCTCAGTTTGAAATTATTTTAAAACCCTATAGAAACCTTTCCTCATTAGTTTTGAAATCAAACAGCAATGCATTAATTTTGAAAAACAAACAAAGAGATAACAAAAAACCCAAACTGAGCATTTTTGTGAGTCATAATTTGTCTGACCATACATCCATTTTCAATATTTTATTGCAAAAATATTAAAAGTTCAGTGATACAAAACAATAAAAAGGGCATCTTATGAGATCAAAATTTAGAATAATGGGTCATTTTAAATGAAACTTTGACATATTTCCTCTATATTCTTGAAATAAATGTGGGTTAAAAAAAGTGACTCGTATGAAATAAAGAAAAAGCTAAACAAATATTCAGTGATATGCTGCAAAGGACTTAATACAGGCTAATTCCTTGGAAATGTAAGCTTAGCAGGCCTGTTGGTTATGAACCTGTCGGGCTCTCAGAGAACAGTGGACGTACATACAGGCTGGTTTTGTCCGCCCCCCTCAGCACGGCCAGGCCTCTCACATTCTCCGTAAGTACGCTCTAGTGAGGAGCGTCACTGAAGCATTCAGCTCTGTCCAGTCTCCACAGATTCTCATTTCACAGGTGACTGTGGCCGGCTTCAAGCCTGTCTGTGCTGCAGACGCAACCATTCAAGCTTTCCAGATAAATTTAGAGACCCTTTCTTTACATTTCCAGTAACCACTATGTGCTGTTGCTGCTTCTTCTCCTAATATTTCCATAATCTTTTGCAACATATATA